CATTCATAATGTTATAATGCATTCATAAGGCATTATAAACATGGCTATAAATATTTATAAATATGCATTACACGTTATAGCCATGCTTATTCTGCATTATGAATTGTTCACATAATGCATTATAAGTACTGTTCATAACAAATTATAAGAGCTCATAAGTGGTATTTGTCCGCTCTAAGTAAAGTGAAGCGTACTGTACTAAAGCCACCTCCAGTGTTAAGAGTGAGGCTTCAAGTTGAAGTATTTACTGAAGGATTTACTGAAACACTAAAACATTCACAGTAAAGCACATTACAGGCTTCAAATGTCAGAGTTTAAACTAGAGCTGCCATCAGTGTTTTACCCAATGTGGGAAAGTCAATGTACACCACCGTTAGCTTGGTATTTGTCTTTACGCTCTCCAAGCTGGGACTGACTTCTTTGGCACTGACATTATAACATGTTATTAACACTACTTATAATGCATTATATTAACAATTCATAATATATAATAAACATGGCTATAAAGTGTAATTCATTTTTTATAAATGTTTATAATCATGTTTATATAAATGTGTTTATAGATGCTTACAAATGTGAAATTCATAGAAAGTGTTACCGAATTTACTGAAACACTAAAACATACACAATAAAGCACATTACAGGCTTTCAAATGTCAGATTTTGAACTAGTGATGCCATCAGTAGTGTTTTTGTACTTGGTTTGCTGTGATGTAATGTACTGTTTACAGTGAGAGCGCTGGGTAAGTAAAGGACATTGTAGCAATAATTCTAGGCTGGACAGCCTGTTTGGAGCATCTGAATATTCAGGACTGAAGCCCTAAAGATGCAGCCCTAACAGCAACAACAGCAAGATATATAATATAATGCAATATAAGTAGTGTTAATAACATGTTATACTGTCAGTCCCAGCTTGGAGAGTGTAAAGACAAAGTTGATTTACGCCCTGGGATTCCCAGTATTATATACCTCACCGTTCTATGAATGTCATGTTTGTGAACATCTACAAGCACATTTATAACATGTTATTATCTTCCAAACGTGACATTCATAGAAAGTGTTACAGAAGTTTTTTTTGTTTTTTTTTAATCTTGGAAATGTGATTGAGTAAAAGTACAAGTACCTAATTTCAATAATACTCAAGAAAAAGCACAAATCATCCATAACGATCCCGAAGAGTAGTGATGAATCAAAACTACCTGAGTTTTCCACCCCTGCTTTTTAGACAACCTTTGATAGATTTCTAACATTAGTCACTGTTTTCACTGAATGCTTCCATTGAATGTACCTCTTCTTTTTTTTTTATTTATAATTCTCGAAACTCTCATTGTTATTGTTTGCCTGTCCAGTTTTGACCAGAGGAGGACGGCTTCCCTTTTTAAGTCTTGGTTCCTCTCAAGGTTTCTTTCTCATGCTCTTAAAGACACTGTTGTCCTTGGTTTGCTGACTAGGAGTTTGTGCCAAGTTTCTGTAAAGCTGCTTCGTGATAAAATATGTGATTTGTATAAACATATACAAATATATTTTCATTTGTTTAAACATAATCTGATTCAGGTGTCTCAGAGCAGAGAGTGCGCCAAACTGTGTCGGACCTCCATTACTGGTAATGATGATCCCCTGTTCTACGGCCCTGAATACACCACACAACTAACATTCTAACAGATTATGACAAGACTTTAAACTTTCCGAATGCTTTTTGTACTTTTATGGCAATCAGCACTACATTATTATGATTCACATACAAACCCATTTTCAAAAATGTTGGGACACTAAAACGCAAATAAAAACTGAAAGCTGTGATTTACAAATCTACTTCCATCTGTATTTGACGAAAACCAGTATGAAGACAAGATAGATGGTGTTTTAGCTCATCAACTTCATTGTTTTTTGTAAATATTCACTCATCCTGAAATCCATGCCTGCAACATGTTCCAAAAAGTTGGGATACGGGTAAATTAAGACTAGAAATACTGTGAAATATTAAAAAAAAAAAAAAACATTTTAACCAGGCGAAGCAATTATGATTTAGCAATGCTTAAGCTAAACTTCCAAAAATAACTAGTATAAAAATAACATTCCTCAGCCAGGGACTGCAAGCATTTTAGGTATTTCACCCTCTACAGTGCATAATATCATCAAAGGATTCAAGAAATCTCTGCAAAAGCAAAAGGCTGAAAACCACACATGAGTGTCTGTAACTTTTGATCTCATTGACAGCACTGCATTAAAAGCGGGCATGTTATTGTGATGAATATCACCACATGGGCTTGAAAATACTTTGACCAACCGTTACCGATAGACATTGTTCTTCGCTGTATCCACAAATGCAAGTTAAGACTGTACTATGCAAGTGGAAATCATATGTCAACAGCATCCATAAACACCGCCGACTTCTCTGGGCTGAAGCTAATCTGAAATGAACTGATGCACAGTGGAAACTGTGCACTGTGGCCTGACTAGTCAACCTTTCAGACTGTTCATGGAAATACTGGACATTGTGTTCTCCTGACCAAAGAAGAAAAGGACCATCCATGTTACTATCGTAAAGTTCCAAAACCACGGTCTATCATGGTACGGGGGGTATTATCAGGGAACCTGCACATCTGTGGAAGAACCGTTAATGCTGATCACATTTTGGAGCAACATGTGCCTTTTAGACACCGTCTTTTTCAGGGACACCCAACCTTATTTCAACACGACAACACCTAGCCACATTGTCCACATATTACAGCAGCACGGCTGCATATTTAGAGAGTGAGTGTGCTAGACCGGCCTGGCTGCAGTCCAGAACCGTCTCCCATTGAAAAGGTGGGTCTTATTAAGCTCAAAATATGACAACAAAGGCCCTGGATGGTTGCACAGCTGAAGACTTGTATAACAGAACAATGGCAAAAAATTCACTTTCAAAAATTTCAATTGGTGTCTTCATTCCTCAAATGACTGTCAAATGTTCAAAGGAAAGGTAACGTAACACACCTTTTTAACTTTTTTGGAACATTTTGCAGGCATCATATTTGGAATGAGCGTATATTTACAAAAAACAACGAAGCACATAAGGCAAAACATTAAATACTCCGTTTTTGTACCAGTTTCAATTGAATGTTGGCCAAACAGAATTTATTAATCACTGCTTTCTGTTTTATTAGCATTTCACATATTGTCCCAACTGGGTTTGTACTACATAACTTGTAATCTGCTGCTGAACGCACCAAACCTGAACAAGAACATGTGCTCTGCTGTTACTAGGAGACAGCAATAGAAAAAGAAACAAGGCGCTTTCATTGGATATTGACAGTTTGAGCTGCTGAGCAGCAAACATTCCCAGATTACATCCAGATTCCTGCCAAACATGAACGCATTAGAGCCTGTACCCCTCTAACACTTCTCCATTTTTTTGCATTAGCTGTCCACTGCCCTGAAATCTGCAAACTGGACCGAGAATCAGTCTAACCGTGAATCACTATAATCACGTTGGAACTCGTAATGCAATCCCGGCTTCAGCAACATTGTATGAGAAGCATACAAAGCAAGCGGTGGATAGAATAGCGAGGCAGCAGGGAGATGAGCTAACAGCCCATTTGGACTCTGTAAAGCACTCTGCCTCAGACACAGTGTTGCTTGGTTAAAGGTCGGCTCGTATTTCACAGCTCCATTAGAGGCTGCCCGCGTCCCACGCTGCTACCGTTCCACCGTGAGCCCGGGCTCGTCTCGGCCTACAATTACACAGTCAAACTGTCAGAGCGAGCTGCTAGCCTGAGTATCCACAGCTACAGGCAATGCAGCCATTTTGAGAGCAGCACACAGCTCCACGCAGTATCAGCACTGTAGATCATAAACACTGAACGGGGGGGGGGACACAGCGTTGGTCTGTAGCGTTAGAGGCGAATCGTGTTAAAGCATCCTGGTTAGTATGAGGTAAAAAAATATGTGGTGAGCAACGTCACGTACAGAGCATTCTTGTACGTGCACACAAACGCGTACGCACATGTAGATGATTCCCATTTGAACCAAGAGAAGTCTACAGTAATGGCAGATGTTTTGCTGTATTGTTTAAAAGTGATCACTAAGCTATGAATAAATAATAGAAATTGATTACATTTACAGAACTGCGCAAAAGTCCATGTATAAGTTGTTCATTTTTTGGGAGATACTTCTGAGGACATTAGATATGGGTCACATGCATCAATCCAAACTTTCCACAGAATTTCTGCACTTGTTTTAATGAGCTATGAGTGGAAAATTGATTTTGAAATCTATGAATATTAAAGGTTATTCATTTTTTGGGAGATATATCTGAGGATCCACACGTGTGAGCAAAGGTTAAAGAAAAATAAACGAAAAAAACAAGGGTTTTCAAAAATGATCAGAAAATTTGGGACTCTTAACAACCACCTGGAAGACCTGGTAGACGCCAAAACTGCCCCATCAGAGAAACAGCAGTTAAAGCTGTTGTCTTTAAAAATGTAATCAACCTCTAAGACTGAACTTCGAAGATGTGAAAAAATTTCTTTGAAAAACTGAAAAAAAAAGTCACCTGAAAAGACTGGAAGCTGTAATAAAGGCAAAGAGTAACAGAATAAACGCTGAAAATATGGATATAATATTTACTTGTTGAGGCGTCTTTTGAAATATGCTTTCAGGAAAATGAATAACTTGTACTTACTGGACGTTTTGACTGGAAATGAAATAAATGAATGGTGGTCTCTGACTTTTGCACCGTACTGTACATTCAATTTACATCGAACAATGTTTCAAGGTCAAGAAACGTTAAAAAAACAAGGCTAACTTTTTGTGAAATTCAAATCATAATAAAGTGTCTCCTCTTTTACTTCCAAACGCAAGTGTGGTCTGATTTGGAAGTTCACAATCCAAACTTTCCACAGAATTTCTCCACTTTTCAATGAGCTATTAGTGGAAAACTATCAGAGATTGATTTGGATAACTCTGAATATTAAAGGATAAAGAAGTGCTTCTAAGAATTAAACCACCTACAACATTAGCTTTTGAAGTTTGAGTTTTTTTATTTGTTACATTAACTAACATAAATAATTCTTTATGAACAAAAGGCACACAGTTCAAATATAAACAAGGAGAACATATGTACAACTTCTCACAAATTAAGTATGGAAAGTAGATGGCAGCTGAAGGGGGAGGGGCATGAGTCCTAAAAAAATCACAAAAAAAAGGAAAAGGATGTCAAAGCTTCAACGACAGCGTTAAGTCCAAGTGACGGACCACCAGTGTCTCATAGTCCAGAATCCAGAGGCGGAGCCACAGAGCCACGCGCTCTCTGTGAATGCTGGAGATTATGCACCAGTCCGTTTGGAACCGAAGACGGGCATGACCGCCTTCACATTGTTCGGGGACACAAACACACGCGCCGAAAGCGCCGGAGGATGGAAGCTTGGTGGTCCCTCCCACGCAAACCCTCAGAGCTTGTGCCGTACCATCCAAGACTTCTACACAGAGTGTACGAACAGCCACCCTCACCACAGGCCCCAAGACCAGATGCGTCCAGACTCCTTTCCAGTCCTTTCCGATGTCCTCAGATGGCCACGGTGCTGGCCACCTCCTCGTACTGGATAATAAAGTACGGGTAGCTCTGGTCATCGTTAAAAATGACAAAAATCTGTGGGTCCATCCAGTTATCCACACACGAGTCAAAGAGGTCGCTGGAGGGGTCGCGAGGGCAGAGGGGTGGCGGTCGGCGCATGGACGGGTTGCCCACCGTAAACCGGCCCGTCAGCACTTTGGCCAAGAACATGTAGTGGACGCCGCGGGCCGAGCGCTTAGAGAAGTTGTGCGAGTAGACGGCCTTGCGGGCGAAGTAGCTGCCCTGGCCGAACATGGTGGCGTGCTTGCCGCACACGCGTGGGTCAAAGTTGTGTTTGCAGATGCCCTCCACCACGTCCTGCGAGGTGCCGTGGAACAGGTGGCGCTCGTTCAGAAGCCGGTCCATCTCCGACATGCGCCGAGACATGTACTCCTTCTTCCTGTGAGGAGTGGAAAGAAGAGCAGCAAATTAGTCAAACGCTCTCAACTGAAACTCTTAATGCTGATTGCAACTGCAATATAACTTTAGAGGTCTGCTACTTTGCAATTAGAGGTCTGCTGCCCAGATCTGGGGCCAGATAAAACATCGGGTTTCGGGCCGGGCTTGGCTCAGCTCGGGCTCAGATATTTTTTCAAGCAAGTCCTTTTTATGTAATAGATTTGTGTCTATTTAAAGAATCACACTGACGTAAATTTCCATGTGAGCAGGTCTGGGTCAGGTTTGGGTTTCAGGGGTACCAGCTGGGCCTAGTTGGGCCGGGATCCCAAGTCTCCAAGTGCTTAAATTTCATGCCTCTACCTGCCATGCATTTGATGGCACATGATCAAAGACTGCCCTACGTTATTTAAATGTTATACTAAAATATTCTCAGTAAGCTCTGACACTGATCAGGACGCTCAGAGCACACAATAAAAAAGCTACGATTTGTTTAAGGGCTTATTTGCATATTGCTACTTTCTGCAATACCAGTACTGCCAAAGGCAACATCTCAATAACGATTACTAAACCATTTATCATGCAGTCCGACCCTCGAGTGCTTCTGCTCTGCACGTTTCTGTTTTTCCTGCTCCAGCACACCCGCTTCGACTTAGGAAGGGTGTGATAATTAGCTGATTAGTTAGACTGGGTGTGTCAGAGCAGGGAAAACACCAAAATCCTCCAGGATCAGAGCTGGAAACCACTGATATGGCATTACTGAAACAGTATGCAAACTGTCTGAGCCCATGAACAATATGCAAATGGTTGAACTCGATGCACTACTGAAACTGTATTTCCGAAACACAACCGAGATGCACATTATGTTACTGAAAAACCAGAAACATTACTGGAATGACACATCAATGTGAAACCATATTGCTCAAATAAGTTCTCAAAACAGCACCACAGCTGAAACGCTGATTAACAGAAGATGACCTTGTTAGAGATGCTCTGAGATCCTGAATGGTCTCTGAACACTGTACGTGCTTTAGAGCCCCCTAAAATCTCAGGCTTTGTACTTACTAAGCCTTATTATTCAGTAACTACAGGCACTTCAGTGCAAAGATATTCTTAGGCTATAGAAGTGTGCAATAAAACTGGCCATTTAAGGGGTTAAACTAAACAGCTTACATAGTAGTTCATGAGGAAATCACAGTAGTAACAGAATACTGCACCCTCAGATTAATAACTGAGTCATAAAGGCTGATATAATGTCCCACTGCTGTGAGAATAAGCCTACAGTCCACAGAAAAAAACAAAACAAAAAAAAAACAGGCTGCACGCTCAGGGCACCATGCTGAGAGCTGCCCTTGGGGTAGCAGAAAGATCAGAGTGACCAAAGAGTGGGTCATTGCTCTGGGAGCTGTGAGCTCCCACACCCATTCAAACAGTGTTCCATTAGGCTCAGTCTGCTGCCGTATTGTTGCCAGTGGAGGGGGGCGGGGGGGGCGAGTTTGTGCGTGGTTCAGCCAAGCGTGCCGCCATGACTCTGCCTGACCTCTGCTGATCCTGTAGCTACTAGCCAGCCATAGTCTGCCACTGCACTGAGCCGTGTCTCTCTGATTCACACTCTCTCTTACACACACACAGCCGCACTGACCCCGAACGGCCCCCTTGCAGCTCCTGCATTGCCTGCATTAACAACTCTCTCTTTCTGCTCCCCTTCATCTCTCATTCCCTGAACTGCACTGGATTTTTCTGTCGATCACTTTATTTCTTTATCATAAAGCGCCCCGCCTCACGTCAATGGTGCAGAGTCAGAGGCAGCGTACACTCCTGCTGATGTTTACACTTCACACAAAACATGTACCCTCTAATCCACCAGACCTAAGCAAGTTAAACCTGGCCTCTGGAGCAGTGTTGGGGCAGTTACTCAAGAATATAATGGATAACAAATGACTACATCTCTTAAAATGTAATGGGATTGTTTCACTTATTACATCTGGGAAAAAAAAAGTAATCTAATTACTCCTTACTTTACTTCTCCTTTACTCTCTAAAAAACATAAAACTGAACTAACTCCAATGAATTCAGCACTTTATTTAGAAAAAAAAAATAGCCAGTCAAAGTAATCATTTAAAAGGCATGTCATTATTCCCACCAGTTACGCTTGATTAAAATTATTAGCGGCTGTTTGAAAACAGCAACTAGCCAGGACGCAGCTGCCTCCAAATAAAATCTTTGGGAATAAAATGTAATGATTACAGGCTGTTTCTGAGCGAAAAAGGGAGTCGGACCTGAGTTAAGTGAGCTTGGGGATCTCTCTTCTTCAGCAAAAGGATCTTTATCCTTTAGTTTAATGTTGTAGGACTGGTTTGCGGTGTTTACCTCACTCTCACTGTGCTACTTATAATCACAAAGCCGTGGAGTTAGCTGACGCAGGCAGCACACACCCACCAAAATGACACAAAGTGTGGATAATGTACAGAGGAAATGTATATTTTAAATGCACTGCGCTAATTAATAGTTCTCTGTCAGAGACATATGGGTGACTTTTTACTGCAGTAGCCGGGACACTTTTATACCATGGTAGCGGTGTTTGACTTGGCCATAAGCCAAAGACTTGGTACCATAACAGCTGAGTTTGACTTGGCTGGGAGACAAGTGCTTTTCACCGTGAGAGTGGAGTTTCACTAGGCCATGACGGTGATTTTCACCGTGACTTCACTGTGACGTTCACTGTGAACTTTTCACAGTGGAAGCGAAGTCTGATGAGACCGTGAGCCCTGGACTTTGCACCAGGACAGCAGAGTGTGACTAAGCAGCAAGCCGGGTCACTTCTCAGAGTCAGTCTGACTAGGCTGTGAGCCGGGTCACTTTTCACCGTGACAGTGGAGTTTGACTAGGCCGTGAGCCGGGTCACTTTTCATTGTGATGGAGGAGTTTGACTAGGCCATGAACTGGGTCACGTTTCACTGTGACAGTGGAGTTTGACTAGGTCATGAGCTGGGTCCCTTTTCACCGTGACACTGGAATTTCACTAGGCTGTGAGCTGGGTCACTTTTCAGCGTCTCAGTGGAGTCCGAGTAGGCCGTGAGCTGGGCCACTTTTCACCGTGACGGAGAAGTTTGACTAGGCCATGAACTGGGTCACTTTTCACCATCTCAGTGGAGTTTGAGTAGTCCGTGAGCCGGGCCACTTTTCACCGTGACAGAGAAGTTTGACTAGGCCATGAACTGGGTCACCTTTTACTATGACAGTGGAGTTTGAGTAGGTCGTGAGCCGGGTCACTTTTCACCGTGACAGTGGAATCTTGACAAGGCCAGGTTACTTTTCACCATCTCAGTGGAGTTTGACTGGGTAGTGAGCTGGGTAACTTTAATGTGATAAGAATTTAAGCTGCAAACTGTTACACTACTTTGTTGCAGGAAAAGTAATTACATTACTGTTCTGCATTACTTTATGCCATGTTACCCTCCAACACTGCTCTAGAGACGTCACACACGTCTGCATAAGCTACCTGAAGCTGCAGCATGAGCTCACCGAACACACACAAACATGCACACCCTCCACAGTGAGTCAGCAGCAGCCCACCTCTCTGCCACCTTTACCCCTCAGCCCGTGTTTCCATGACGATGGCATATTAAAGAACAACAACAGCATGGTCCCTTGCACACGGGCAGCTCTTCCTCCCACATGCACACACACAAACAAATGCACACATATATATATATGTATATGTATATATATATATACATATATATATATATATATATATATATATATATACACACACACACCACAGCGTGACTCCTAGCACCTTTTCCTCCCCCACAAACTTCCTCTGAGCATGTTCCACATTTCACACACGCCTCTGAAGTTCATCTCTCACACACCTGCTACGTGCACGCACCTGTTTCCGTCCTACAACAAGTCAGCAAGGACCGTTACCGTGGTTTATGCCAAAGGTAGGCAAAGAAAGTAACCTTACAGTCATCTCACACCCACACTGATGACAACTTTAGGGCCTGTACAGGGGATGTAGGAGCTTAAAGCACCCAGCGGGAACCGCTAGCTCTGTCTCACGAGCTCATGCCTTCACCAACACGGCGCTTAGAGCAGTACTATTATATGCTTTAGTAGGTGCAGTTTTTAAGCACTTGGTCTGGCCTGTCGTGTTGCAACAATTTAATACTGGCTCTTCAATATCAGTCTGTTTTCAATATTTTGTTCCAGTGAACATTCTTTGATTTTAAACGCTTTTAAATCACACAGATTTGGGCAGTTGAGCACCTGAAAGGGGGAATTCCACAGATTTTTCAAAATGTCTGCATAATTAAATAGTTAAGATGTAAACAGAGTCATTTAGAGTGGTTTGGTGTAGAGAAACTTACAGACTCGAAATTGTTCACTCTGGTGGTGATGAGAACCAGACTTGCATGGCATTTTAATACCTCTAAAAGCTCCCTCACTGAAAGTTATTAGATTAAATGGTTAAATACGCTGCATGACGCCTGAAACATTGCTTTATGATAGTTGTGCAACAAGCTTTTGGCCTAAAATGTACTTTTTAAATCCATTCATGGTGGAGAGTTGGACATTTTAAGGCAACACGTCACCCATGAAAAGACACAGAAGGCACGTGTAGGTTAGCTGGCCATTTTGGATAGTAAATAAAATGGCCATATTTGCACTGTAGACATCATAACCCATAACCCAAGTGTTCTTATCATCACTACTGCAGAGAAATCTAGAGAGTTGCTAAGTTTCTCTATTAACCATTTCACATCAAACCACTCAGAATGACTCTGTTTACATCTCAACGTATGATTTATGCAGGAATTTTGAAAAAATGATGAAATTCCCATTACAGAATTACAAAATAGCATGTATACAGAATTTAACCACGCTAAACTACTGTGACTAGCCACTAGAGTGAAAGGTCATGCTGCACGTTAGCATGACGTCACAGCATTGTTTGCTTGGCCTGTCCATTTAGGAACACATCAAAACCTTTAAAAGCAAAGTCATGGTCATTATAGAGCCATAATCACTGGAAGCACTTTTTCCTTACCTCTTGTATTTCTCCCAGAGAAAGGGGTTCTGGACGCGGAGGATCTTTAGGATGCGGAATTTGGTCTCAGACACTGTTTTGTGGAAGAGGTTGTAGACGGTGCGGTAGCTGCGGTCGTCGCGGGAGACGGGCACCTGCATGTAGTCCTGGTCCGGGCTCATGGGGACCCAGGTCTCGGGGAACGGCCGGGGTGAGGAGGTCGACGTGAGGGAGAGCGGCTGCGGTCCGGAAACCTCCAGAGCGTAGACGCCACCTAGCGTTCTGCAGATGAGAACGAAAGATAAAATTTACCAGATTGTTTAGCACATAATTTATTTATTACTTACAGAATGTTAAATTACACAAAACAACATGACCTAGAAACCTCGATCTAGTTAAATAGATACAAATATATAAATTGAGGACAAATAATAAGTGCAGCTCTTTTAAAATAAGCAAATACAAAAAGGGCAGAGCTAAAAAAATGAAGTGCAAATGAGTGCAGAATGATGCGACCATAGGCACTATCTGAGGAGACCATATTTACTGCACAATAAAATAATATTTCTTATATTTACAACTGTAAAGCCAAATATTTTAAGTCAAATTTTGTAGAGTCAATATGCAAGAAAACCATGTCCAGTCAATGAAGTGGCCATAAAGACGCTTAAAATACAATGGTGTTTCATAGCATGTCAGAGGCAAAGTGCTCCCAACTGCAACAAGGATGTTGCTTTCTAACTAATCAGCAAAACTGTACTAAATCCAGACATAACTGTGGAACTCAAAGCAGCTGGACTTCGAAGCAGATCTGTAGAGCTAAAAGTGGATGAGAGAGGAGCCAAAGCAGCTGAGAGTCTTTGCAGAGCAGGTGGGATGGGGGTCAGGCTTAACTGTTCTCTCTGTGTGACGCTGTGTCTTTTTTAGATTCCAGCCAGGTAGACGTGATTGCTTCAGTCAGCGTGACTATCTCCTGAGTCATCCTCTACCTGAGTTCTGCTGAGCCCTGCCCCACTCTCTTTCTCTCTCTCTCCGTCTTTCTCGATCTCTCTCTGCCTCTCCCTTTCTCTCTCTCTTGCCTGCGCCGTGCCGACTGCCGTTCCTAGCATTGCAGAGGATTTATTTCCCATATGTTTCTCAGAAGCTCCCAGTAAGAATGAGGAAATGGAGCGGTGGTAGAAGGAGGGAACAGAAAAGGGCAGAATATGGGTATATTACTGTTTTGTGCATGACTATGCATGTGTATGTGAGCCAGGGAGAGATTTATGCCGCTTGCTGAGCAGTAACTGGACCGGTGTGGGCAGACGTGCAGCCAAGCTGCCACTCAGCCTAATGGCTTCCAACTCTGAGCTCAGGACAGCTTGTTCCTGCCACAGCGGGAGCCTCCAGCTGCGAGACCCAAAGCTGTTCACACCTAGTCCAGACCATGAAGCCACGCGCAGGGGGACGCAACCAACCCTGACCTCCGCAGCACTGGAGGTAACACACTGGAGGAACGCACTTAAGGAAAGATCCAGTAAGACGAAATGAATACATTTTGAGGGAAAAGCTTGGCAAAATGTTTTATTTCCGAACAAAATTCCCCTTTTCCAATCACCAAAGACTCCTGGTGTCTGAGGCTTCTTTTGCACTACGAGGCTAATGTAGCTAACAAGTAGTAGAAGTTAAAGCACACAGAATAGCACTGTGCCAACACTGTGCCTAAACCATCACACACTTGCCTCAAACTGCACTGAGATGTTCAGTATCTCTAATAGACTTGCTTATGTGGTTTCTGACACTGTACGACACACTGTTATCTATAAACATGGACAAAAGTACATTGCATGGCTGAAAACAGTAGTGACAGCCATCCTGAAGCCTGTATTTTTTAGATAACAGTGTCTCAGAAACAACATAAGCCGGTCTATTTGAGATTACTTGAAGGGGAATTCCACCGATTGCTCATAATTTCCGCATGATTAAATGGCATAAACAAAGTCATTCAGAGCGGTTTGATGTGAAATGCTCCGTCTGTTCAAACTGGCGGTGATGGGAGCCACAAGTCTGACATGTTTAATCCTTTTAAAAGCTCCCTTACAGAAAGTTATTACATGAGATGATTACGAACAAGATGCCAAGATTTCGGAGACATTTTTTAGGAAGGCTTCGGCCTAAATTGTGCATTTTTATTCATTTTTTATATCCATTCATGGCAGAGAGCTAAAACAGCACTCAAAGAAAACCTGATTTACCACAATTTTACCACTATTATTATCTGATATAAAAACTCTGACACTGGCGGTTTTGGGTAGTAAATAAAATGGCACACAACCCTCGGTTCCCATCACTCAACCAGACGTTTTATATAAAAAAAATTGGTGATATTACCCTTTAACAGTGCTAATTAGTGTGGGATATGTCTTAGCTAAATCAGCCCCACAGATTCAGTGCAGGGGAATATTGTATAAATCTTAATGCTTTCATCAAACTACTTTTTAAAACTAGTTCTAGGATGTGGTGTAACATGCATGCGTGCACAACCACACTACAGACACTGGACAGAGCTGGGATAGTTTGGTCCGAAACAGAATTAAGTCCATGAAAAAATACACTATACCATTCAGTAATTAAAAGAGGGAGGCTGGTCATAAGATACACTTCCTGCGCAGGCCGGAGGAGCTCAGGAACAGATGCAGCAGGAAGAAGAAAAATGCAAAAGACGCCTGAAGTGAAAACGTCTGGCCCAAAAAGCCCCACTTCCCAAACAGTCACGTTTCTCTCATTCACCCAGCTCCACCAGTCTGGAACCAATTTACGCTTTTCTCCTCTCCTCGTTTCTTCCTTTTTTCGCATCTGCTGCTTTCTGTCCGTTTCGCTCTCTGCCAAACGAGAGCCGGGGTGTGTCTCCAGCCGGCAGCGCCAGCAGGACAGGGCAGGTACGCATGAACGGCAAGTACGAACAGTACTCGGACACATCGGTCAGACGGAGACTCTTCAAACGATCACACTCAGCGAGGGGTCTGGCAAGCATGAGCCATTTGCTTTTATCTGCTCTGGAGAGGGGAAGACAGCTGCCGTACTTTCACCGCTAAAGGTGACTGGCATTATAAAGCGAAAGTGAGAAGTTCATTTGTCAAACAGTTTTGGATGTGGTTTGGATGAATCAGTACAAAAAGGGTTCGTTTTCCTCCCCATGCTTTCACCACTGAGGTAATGAGGGGGAGTTTTACTCAAAGGTAGTGAAGCCTCAAAGAAATGAGCTGAAATTCATCCTCAGCTAAATCTGGACAATCTCCATATAAACAATCACAGCTGCATCAAACCTGCCTAGAAGAAAAAAAAAACAGTTTCTTAAATATACAAGACTGTCGATTCTACTTAGAGCGAGTGAGTGATTGTGTACGACTGCTTGTGTTTATTATGGGATGTGCTGGGAGCCTTTTTTTGGGCCGGGTTTCCACGGATACTCACTGCAAGTACGACGAGAGCCTGACGGAGGACATGAAGAGAGGCCGTTTCTTGATCTGGCGGCGGAAGCCGAAGACGGCGTTCTGCTGGAAGCCCTCGCGGATGTTCAGGATGTACTGGTTCTGTAGCGTGATGAAGCGCACCTCCTTCAGGCCCCGCCCACTCGCCTCCTCGATCAGACGCACCACCGGCTACGGGACAGAGGGAGAGAGGAGAAAGAAACGAGTTAGATACAAAGAGAGACAGAGACAAACAGACAGGGAGAATAAGCACGGCAGCGGAACAGAGCGAGAAAAGAAACGAGATCGAAAAACATCCGACGGAATGAGAGCGAGAGCGGCGCTGAGAGAAGGAACGGCGCATTCGCACAGTTCTCGCGCTCCCACTTGCTTCATCTGGAGTGCGAGTCAGACTGCATCCATCGCTGGAGATTTGGGAAAGGAAATAAATAGCTTTATTTCGAAAAGGAACACTTATGCAACGGTCTGATTTCAGATGGCTGCGTGTGGGCAGAACAGAGCGTTTCCTCTGGTGTGTGTGTGCATGTGTGAGAGCCAGTTCTCACACACACACATAGACATATTCACATCACCCCCCCCGCCAGCCCCTGAAAATGTGGCAGAATATCCCTAATCGCCAAATGGTTTCGCAAACATTCAGGCAAACTTTGGTTCTGGACTCAATTAATACTGATTCTCCATTTAAAATCCTTTGTCAACCAACTTGGAAAGCTCAATAAATGACTTTGCGCTACTTTGATTGTTTCAACAGCTGACATTTACACTTCTCGAAGGTTTGCCTAACACGGTGTGCAGTCGCTGAACGTGAATGGGAGTGCGGTTAGTATATTAGCTTTCCCAAATTGTTCTCCAAGTTTGTGTTTCTGAGTACACCATTTATCTGAGATGTAATACAGGGAGATTCGCTCGAAAGAGGCCCCGAATATTCTAATAACTCTCTCTAGGACGAAGCAATCTGAACGAAACAACATTCAATGTGCTTCTCAGTATATGGAGCTTCGAACAAACTGGGATGCCTCTGCGTCGGGGTGATGAGGTAGGCGCCGGACAGCTGTCGTGACGTTTAACCTCCGTTTGCAGCTTCCGGGTGCATAACCCCAACCCTTTCATGTGTCTGGCAGAAAACGGAGATCACTTATAGCATCGCATGTAATGCAATCGATTACACATACGTCAAGGTATGTAGTGTATTCTTTGGTTCAGATTGCTTCATCCTAACGGGAGTTACCACAGAATATTCGGGGCCTCTTTCAAGTGAATCTCCCTGTATTTCGTAAGTGTGGCTTGTGGAGGACGTTCAGCATCTCACCTCTGAGTACTCCCTCCAGCCAAAGTTGTCTCTGCAGTAATACTTCCACACTGTGAGGCAGCTAGGGGCGGGGTTTGTGCTGGAGGACGTGGCTCCGGAGCTGGACGCCGTGGACAGACGCCTGACGAGGTCAAACTCCAGGTCACAAACCCTCATGGCACTGAAGTCTAGCATGAACACTCGACTCCTGCGTATGAGACAAAAAACACGGTCAGTTCAGACTCTCCCATAGGTCTTTTAGCAGACATACAGAAACAACATTTCACTGGTAGATGTTAAACTCAGTTTCAGCTTTTCTGGTTGGTTTCTCTGACTCGGTGTGTAAAGTGTGAGAGAAGGACAGACCAAGTCCCTTGGGCAGAGAAAGTAAGGCTGACCCCACTGACTGCTCCCCTCCTCCCCCCAAATACACACAGCCACACATCCCTGAGCTTTTTAGGTCACGTCCTGGGCCAGACAGCCCACTCTAATAACAGTCTTATCGATCACACTCACTCTCAAACACAAAGAGGATTAGGGGTCAAGGGTTAAAAGTCTGACCAGAGCTGCCAGCTCAAAGCCAGAGCCGATCAACGGGAACACATGCATGCCTGTTCTTCATTCATGACTGCTGGTCAGGTCAGAAGAGGAAGCCTCTCTTTTTTACGGTTTCTGTAATATAGCGCATATATATATCTCTATGTAAATCATATTCAGTGAGTTCTGCTAAAAAGGCATTAATAGGAAAACAGATAGAACTGCTGGCAAACCACACAGACCCAGTACACCCTAACCCTGCATTCACACTGGTAGTGGTGCGATGCAACGAAGCGGCCGGAGGACGTTCGATTTCAATGAGAGCTGGCGATTTCCGGCGACAGGAGGCGGCGCGAACGTTGGTGATGCAACAAAGTTAAGTGGAGTTTAACTTTATGCAAATAAGGAGCGAAGCGATGTGGCAATAACCAATAGGAATTGAGCATTGAGCAGCATAGTACGCACTTTGCCACTGTCAAATGGTACGCTCCGTTTTTGGTTCCTAGATAATTGTTCCTACCACAGGTGGAATAATGGCTGCGGTGCCTTCGTCGAAAATGGACAGTAATCACAAAGAACAAATAGCGTTTTCCGCGCAAACTGACTGCACAGAATCGGGGATTCAATAAAAATAAGCACACCAGCGATTTTTTACCAGGATTTTTATTTCTAGCGGGAATGCATCTGATTTGTGCTTGGTGTCAGTGAAACTATGGCAACCAACGGTCCGCTCGAGTTCAGAAACGCCCACAGGCGATGAGCGATCTGGATGACAAGAGCCAGAAAGTCGTTGCCAGTGTGAACGTGGGGTAAAGCAGAGATATCTGACCCAGCTCTTGAGAATATCCAGCACATCTACACTTCAGTTTGACAAGGTAACCAAAAGCTGCCCATAGCACATTCACGCCACTCTGAAACATGTGGTCAGTAACAAACCCACTGTCCAAGTCCTGCAGTGATGCAAACCCGAACTCAAAAACTGAAATAGTAGTAACTCATGATTATAGTACGTGGCAGAGAGAGTGAGAGAACGGTCAGACAATGGGCAGGGGTGTCCAATCTTCTCCGCAAATGGCCGGTGTGGAAGCTGGTTTTCTATCCAGCAACGTGATCAACTGTTTGAAGACCGAGACCAACAGATTTAACGAGCAGAACCACAGAACGAAGTGCAGCCCCTTTGAGGACCAGACTGCAATACAGCATGAACCATGCCAGGCCGAGAGAGGTAGAACAAGAGAAGGAGAGAGAGAGCAGGAGAGATAGAGAGCGAGTTAAAGCATGGCAGACGTTGACAGGAAGGGTGGACAATGAATGGACAAAAAAACCCCTCACCAACCAACAAACACACAGACCGAGCAGGAGCTAGACTAAACAGAAGAGAGACTCTGAACGACCAAACAAATAAGGCAAGATAATTAAACAGTGACAGAATCATTCTGGGCACCAGCTCGGCGCTCGGACTAAAGCTGGATGGAAGGCAGCCGCGCAGCCGTATAGCCAAGAGTGGCAGCGAATCTAGCTTTGGACGAGCACAACTGCTGCAATGAAATCCGATTACATCAGGTATTTGCTTTTAAACCAATAAAATAACCATGCAGCCATATAGTATGTTAATGCTTATCACAATATTGCCTTTATCATAGTGAAATCGCATCATGTAAATAAGCCCTCTAACAAATGAGAGAAACATACTGAGTGCTGTGAGCATCCTGACCAGCCCTGGACCTTCCATCGAGATGTCCAAAAAGGTTATATAAACTGGGCCAAACTTTATGTAGGCCAATCTTTAACCATGTCCCATCAAGGGTTCACACACATACTGAACGCGAACACAATATCTAGCCATTTAACTGTTTCTATGCAGAAAAAATCATGAACATTTTAAGGAAATAGATGTTCGAATGTGTATTGAAATGTTAAACTGCATCGCCGATACGCCCCTCACTCTCTACTGACTGAGGGTCTCGTTTGACGTCTTTTATGGAAACTAGATAAGGTGAACAAATTAAAGCAGTAACTTAGACCTAAAGCAACACTATGTAGTATTTGGGGATTTGGAGACACCTCTGGTGGAAATGTGTAATTGCAGGCAAAATGTGGAACATTTTGGGGGTCTAATGAAGTGCAGACATGCTATATAAGGTTTTATATAAGCCTGTTCAGGTCTCTTTTTTGTTTATACCTCTCATAAAGTCACTATTTTGCACAATGACATGCTTTTGATATCATTTTTTTAAAAGAAAATCTAAAATCAATAAGCTGTGTTGGGCATAATTAGAAGAATCAAGACGTTTTGAAAACGTAATACAAAAAATTCTGAATTAAAAATGTGTTGAACCTGAAAATATGTGTATCGCTGCACAAATCATACTCGCAATATGATATTCTGTCCATTTTGTGCAGCACTGGAACTCAAACTGTGGAACCTGCATTATCAAGCCTACACAATCGAGGTTCTCCAGTACTGAAACGTTTGACCCACCTTTGTCTGAGTCAGTCCAGCACTGCCAGCACTCTTAGATCAGACACTCGGTTCTGTTCAGAATGTCTCAGGACGTCGTGCTGTCGTTGTTGTTTTTTTATTTCTGCCTGGTGGGCAGAAGCCTGAAAGGCTGAGCTCTTAAGCAGCCATCTGGCAGAGAGGTGAAACGGAGAAGAGATGGAATGATAAGTACGTGAAAACGCAGCAAGGAGCACATTCGCTGACTAAAGTGGCCACAGAAAGGGAAATGAGAGCGCACACAGACTCAAGGAGAAGAAAATGAGGGTTGGCCTCTCTCTCTCTCCCTCTCTCCCTCTCTCTCTCTCCCTCTCCCTCTCTCTCTCTCGCTCTCCCTCTCTCTCTCTCTCTGGATTTGACGCTGTGCCATGCGAAGAGTCAGATCTGATGTAGAAAACAACACAAGCAAAAACAAGCCATAGCCCATTCTCCACGTACACAAGGAGGGGATGGGAGAGAGAGAGAGAGAGAGAGAGAGAGAGAGAGACAGACAGAGAAAATTGAAAGAAAGAGGAGAGACAGGGACACAAATAAACAGGTAAGTGAGAAAGGCAGAGAGAGAGAAGGGAGAAATGAGAGAGAAAGAGAGAGAAGAAAGAAAGATGAAGACAGAAGGGGGACAGAAAGACAGAGAAACAAGAGAGAAACAAAGACAGAGAGAGGGAAGAGAGAAAGAGAAAGAGAGGAGAGATGGAGACACAAAGAAAGTGGTGAGTGAGAAAGGCAGAAAGAGAGAAGGGAGAAATGAGAGAGAAGAAGAATGAGAGAGAGAGAGAGAGAGAGAAGAAAGAGAAACAAAAACAGAAAAAAGTAGAGAGAGAAAAAGAGAAAGGAGAGAAAGAAAGATGGGAGAGAGACAAAAAAGATGAGTGAGAAAGGCAGAGAGAGGAAAAGAAAAATGAGCGAGAGAAGAAAGAGAGACAAGAAAGAGAGAGAAACAAAGACAGAAAAAAGGAAGAGAGAAAGAAAGAGATAGGAGAAAGAGCGAGAGAGACAAAGGGAGAGAGCGTGAGAGAGGCCGAGAGAGAGAAGCGAGAGAGTGAGAGAGACAGAGAAAGGCAAGGAAAGGGGGGGCATACAGACAGAGAGAGAGAGACGTGCGAGAGAGAAAGACAGAAAGAGATAATTATCGCTGCAGTATGTCACCACTGACCTACTGAATTGAATCGAAGACAAACATACGCGCACACAGCCACACGTAGCTGCTCAGACATCTCTCTCTCTCTCTCTCTCTCTCTCTCTCTCTCTCTCACACACACACACACACACGCACACACACACACACACACACACACACACACACACACACACACACCTCTGGGAACATTCCCTGTCAGCACATGATAAGGTTAAGCCTGAAACAGCTTTAGCCTTCGAGCTACACTCACACACACACACTCACACACACACACACACACACACACACACACACACTTACCATTACAACACTCGCCAAGGGAAACAAACACACACAATGCTTACACTCACACACACCCATTAACCGTGGGCACACACCCCGCAGACGCAGAGGAACAGGCACACACTCCTGCCCAACACGTCCAGGACTTCCTGTGCTGGGCATACACAAACACCATAGTAAAATAAGCAAGATAAATAAGTAAACATTTGTCAGAGCTATATCTAGAACCTGTCTCACCAAGCATGCTGCACTTGCACAGGGTTCCTGGCTGAGCATCAAACACTGATCCAACTTTTCTCTCCTGATACAGATACCTGATCCTCAAGTATCTGCCGATACCGAGTACCAATACCGATACTACCTCTAACCCGGAGGTCGGCAATCCAGATGAATCCAGAAGAGCCATTTTGTCCTTTCAACAAAAATCAATCCACCTTGGCAGCCACAAGATTTTATGTCCATTTCACCATCTTGCCTGTAAAAATGCCTCTGTATGTGCTGATGTGTTAGTATAGGCTACAAATACAAACACAGACTTACTTTGCTCTGCATTAACCTTTAGCTCTGCTTTTCTCGCATCTCTGGCAGGAAACTTTTACTCAAAGGTGGAATAGTTTCTTGTAAAAATGTCTCTCAACTTTTTACGAGGCTAATGTTGCTTCTCATTGGACAGCTTCTTGTTCAAATTTCCCCTTCCACCTTAAATGGCACCAGAGTGTAACTGCTGTACCATTTAAGGCGGAACGGGACA